CATCTTATAAATCTTACATAAAAAGGAAAAATTAATAAAAAATAACTTGTAAAAATTTAAAAGATATGAATATTTATGATTAAAAAAAATGATAATATTTTAATATATAAAATCATTTTAAAATAATTAAAATTATTCAAGAGAGAATGTAACATTTATCTTTATATTATATCATAATTTCTAAATTTTAGATTTTATAATAATGCAAAAATACAATATTTAATATGAAAATATAGTTGAAACCAAGAAAATGACCATTGATTTATAGATTAATTTTATAAAAATTAAAATTATATATTTCTAAATCCATGGCAAAAAATTTTTTAAATAAAAAATACGTTTTAAAATGCAGGTTAAATTTTGTAACTATCATATATAAAATATATCCAAAATATGTGGCTTATATTTTTGCTTATCTAGAATAAAAGGATCTTAACATTATGAAAATGATTCTTGTTAGGGAAAATGATATTATTTTATTTCTCTTTTAAAAAAATTATTTTTTAAAGATAATTTTAGTATTTTAAGTCAGAGATAAGCGTTTACATGGGAGAAGGGGGGTATAGGAGCCATTTGCCTTCCATTTTTAAAAAGGGTGGGTGGTAGGATGCAGGTATCTAAAGGGATTAGACTAGAAGGTAGGGTTATGTAAAGAATGAAGACTATTTTATATAGATTAAAAGATGAAAATCAATACTAGTTAATTTATTAATGTGAATATTTATGTTTAGATCTCATTTGTTAATTATTCGTATAATAAAACATTATTTTAATGCAGTATGAATTTATACACACTCTTGGGAAATTTTCAGGATTCCCTTAACAACAACTCTAGTTAATTTATCCCCTACTGATGTAAATTTGTTATTATACTAGCCTACATTGTGATACTTAAAAAGAATTTTGCTAGGATTATTGCTGGAAAATAATGGCTCATAGCATTAGCACAGGGTTGCTATAACATAATGGATGAAAGATTATAGGAGTCATTCGAATATATTTTAGGGTAGCGATGATTACCTTCTAACAAATTTTCTGTCACTTAGACACTGTCTTAGGATTAAAAAGGATTCTGTTTTAAAATATAATTTAGAAAAAGTTGTTCTGGTTACTAAAGAAGATGAAGTTTTTTTTTAATTCTCCCTCTCAAGAATAAATTTTCTAAGATGAATTACTCAATACCTATAATCACCTATACATTTAGCAATATTCAGTAGCCCATGCATTCATTAAAGTATACATGGTTCTTACATCTGTTATAATACAGATGGCCCCTCCCCAAGGACTTCTTATTTCAGACAAAGACTCTTAATTGCCGTACACGAATCTAACTATATCAGCTTCATTGAAGGACCTCCTTCTCAAGGAGCCAAAAAAAATTATAAAGAAAAAATATTTTTTTACGGATAGGATAAGAGATAGAGTTTGGATAGAGTTGGGGTTAGGGTAAGGATTTTTCCTTTCCTACCTATATTATCGTTTAATTTTTTTTAGATATATGTTGGCAATGCGTTATTTTATGGCATCGCGTTATTTTCTCAACTTTAAAATCATTTTTTTTGGATCGCGTTTTTTTTTTATTTTAAATTTAAAATCTGATATTACCGGAAATGTATATTTAGCACGTTTAGAATACACATCATATGAATCGTTGGATAATTTTACCCTTAACCCTCGTCATTTATAATATTAATAATAAAAAATTATCTATTGGAAAATATAAATTATATTTAATTCAATAGTTTTTGAACATCGTCGTTTTAAAATTCTTAGGTTAGGTAAACATGAAGAGGAATACTTTTTCGGTAAAATCAGATTTAAAGATTTAAAATTGTAACACTTTAACCAACATACAAATTTTTTTTTAAAAATTGAAGAGGGGGAGAGGTATGGTTGAGAATCGTGTTTCATTCCCTTGATATTTGACTAATAATATTTATCAGCTAAGAGAATCAACCATCATTGTTTAAAACCTTTAAACCATATTTTAATGGCTCAATATTATTTGAAAAATTATTGTTCTAACAATGACGCATAAAATAAGGCTATCAAAAGACAACTAGCTAATTGCAAACCGTGGCAAAAGAGTAAATAGTTTTAAAAATTATGCATATTAAAGTTTTTCCGTACTCTAGATAACTTAACGAGAAGTACCAAGCATTTTTTTTAAGCTTTAAAATATTTGAAATTTTATAGATGGATTACCTTTTTGGTGGAAAAATGGCTCTCAAAGTGAGTTAGCTATATTCTTCAAGATTAATCATATTTATATTATCAATTTTGCTAATTAATATTTAATATATCCTGATTCAGACCCCAAACTATCTTAAATGTATTCGCGCGATAACGCTGCATTTGGTCTGCCTTCACATATTTCAAAAGGTAATTTGAGAATATTTAGAGTGCTCTAAGAATTTTTTTTAAAAGTGGCGCCCCTTAGGCTGCAACCATATTTCCCATCATCTTTCTTGGAAATTACTTGCCTCTCAAGTTCACATCATTACTACATATATATACAGAACTCAATTATTAGTGTTGTTAAACTCCATAACTTTTATCAACTATAAAAGAGCTTAGCCATGTTTATTTATATTCAAAAAATATTCGAATCAATCTACAAGTTGAGTTTCAGCTTTGAGACCTATTTCTATTTATCACGTTAAAAGCTAGATTAAAGCCACAATAGAGATGGTCAAAGTGTAATTTAACAACTCTATCAAGAATTATACAAATTTATACCTTTCTTATTAAAAAGGCCTATTTCGTTAATTATAAACAACTCCTACATTAGGAACCATAGCAAAACTTATTTTACTTGAAATAAGCTTAATGGATGAATAAAATAAAACATAATTTATATACATAAATATTAAAGGGGGCTAATAATTTATTTTTATAAACTCAAAAGTTAAAACGAGGGCCAATAGAAATGGGAAAAAAATTTCTTAATTTTAAAAAATTTTCTTTTCCGAATTTTATAATAAAATTTTATAAACGTGAAATTGTAATAATTTTTAAATTATATTGGTGTAATTTTTTTTGGGGGGCATATGGCTTGCAAAGTAAGGTCAAAAAAGTATTCAAAGTTAATTATTTTTATCAAATAACTATTCTTGAAAAAATTCATATTTCGATACATTCTTAATATAAACACGTTAAGATTTTGAAAATTTGTAACTACAAAATAACAAGTTTATTTTTTTAAAAAAAATAAATTGACTAATTAAAAATTTATACTTTAAAAAGATAGAATTCAAAAATTGTTATATTCTACCTCCCCCCCTTTGTCCCGTACAACTTATTTCTTTTTTTTCTACTTGTTTCTTTTGTTTTCCCATCTTCCTTTATTTTGTTATGAAATTGATATATTATACCTTATTTTTATATTGCATTTGAAACTGGTTCTTACCAGTTTCATGAATGATTATATCGCGATTAAATAACAACTTTTTTTTTCCTTTTTGTTTTAAAAATTATAAAGGTGGAAAACAAAACACCTTTTTGGATCATTAATTATTTTCGTGTTTTTTTTTTGTAAATTGATTTTTTTTTAATGAAAATTTATTGTGCATAGTTTTTAATTATTTTGTAAATTGTAACATTTTAACAATAAAGTTAAATTACTAAAATTACTCTGGATGATGACAAAGTTAAAAACCGGTCCCACGAATTCTGCCGATCCCTCACCTTATCCCCCGGTATAACCGCTTGCGGTCGTGGCCTCAAACTCAACACAAATAATAGCATATTTTAATTTAAACTGTGGAGTGATTTAAAAAAATGCTTACATTTTTCTTCGATAGCCATCAGTCTTGAAATACATCCTATGTGTAAAATCTTAAGACTTGCAATAATAATTTTCCTAATAAAATATTGAGTTAGCCATTTTTAAAAATCGGCTACAATATTCATTTTTAATATCCTCCTAATTCGTTTCTCATCACTAGATGGCTCAAAGTAAATAGATGTTTACACGATAATTTTTATCCACCATATTGTTTTTATTGCGGTTGAAGGTTATAGTTTTTTTTTATTCAGCTTATAACTCAGTTCTCGTTTAGTTACGTAAAACCTATAGATGAATTTATATATAATAAAAATTAGGCAATAATTATTGACTCGACTTAGATATCTCTATAATTAATACATTCTTAAAACCTGAGTACCTGATGCGCGGACTTCAATGAAGAGTATATGACAGAAGAGCATAAAATATATTCCTAGAAATTTTCTAAACCAATTCTAAACTCGGACCCATATCCGGCGATCCTTTAATCTTACATTAAAGAAGCTTGGTTTCAAATAAAACTCATTTCAAAGGAAATCGATCTCATAATTTTCTGAGCCTATTAATATAAGAGTAGATAGGATATTTATTATAAATTCTAAAAAGACTTTAAGTATTGTTAGAAAGTTACTTACAGTTACAAAAAAAATTTAAAAAGTAACTGTATTAATTACATTAATAAAACTTTGAATACAATTAATTTAGATATATAAAGTACTGATTTGTGTGAAACAAAGTAATAAATTATTAGGTGATCTCTAAATATTTAATTCGACTAAACTGTAATAAGCTTACAAAACTTTTAAAGATGTAACTCGTTACATTAACAACACCATATACCTATTTACCTCACTCAAACCGGCCATATGATTTGTGTTAAATATCGTTTCAATTGGGTGCTGCCAGATTTCATAGGTCGAAATCTATCGACAACTGTCTTAGAGACTAAACTGAGCCTCGAGTATAATAATCCCGATTTTGCAAAGCGTTACATAATTATCTTAGGAAATCAATCTCATAATGAGTGTCGTATATTTCGTGGTAGTATAATATTTTAAATCAAAATATAAATAAAATCGTTTTATAACGAGCAAAATAATAAAGAAAGAAATTATATATATATAAAAAGGATATTACAATTTATATAGTAATATTTTAAATAAATTAGTTTTTTTTTGAGGAAGTCAATAATGAATATAAAAACCTTAATATTATTAATTGCATTTTTTTTTAAATTTAAAACCTTTATAAAAATATATTATTTAATCATTATTTTTTTAGAGATAGGATATGGATACTATAAGAATAATATATTGGAAAAAAAAGCTATTTTGATAATAATGCTAGTCATAGTTAGACTTTACGATTTGTGCTATAACAAAAAAAATTGTAACTAATTTTAAATTGAAAATATTTGGGATAAAATTTTAGGAACATTTTTTTTCTTGGTATGGCGTGGGGGATGGGGGAGGTGAAGTCAATAGAATATTTTTTTTGAATGTGTGAGTGCAATAAGAATTTGCGAAAAATATGTAGGATTTTTCATAAAAAATTACCTAACATTTTAGCAAGAAATCTCGATTTAGTGCAACTAAACCCGGGAATTATGTAAAAGAGCTATATCAATTAGGTGGCGAATGATACAAATTAGATAAGGATTGCAATTAATTTGGGTAAGAATCATATAGTAAATTAGGGTAAGAATGGCATAAATTTAGTTTAAACTACTTATATATAAAAAAATACTCGTTTTTATGAAGGGGTGAGCAATTATTTTGATATTATTTTTTTAACGAAAAAAAAATGCTTTTAAAATTTTAAACAAATAAAAAAGGTATAATAAAATTATCGAACACCATTAATTATCAATCATCAAATTCTGAGTGAATTAGCATATATATATTGGTAAAAGTATCTTTAAAAATATATGTGCCCAAGTTAATCCCTATACCATATGGATAGATTCCCCCTTTTAAATAACGCAATTGGATAACTTTGAATAAGCGTAGCGAATGTTATAATCGAATGTATCAAGAGGCCTCTATAAGCGTGTTACCTTTATTATTCCCGGCCGTCTTGCTGGCCATTTTTTCGCTTAAGGTCTCCAAGAGCGACGTCGAAAATTCGCGATTTCTATTATTTTTGCTAATTTTGTTGGCGTTTTCGCAATTTCCGCCGTTGCATCTCTTCGAATCATTTTTAGGGCTTTGGCCGTCGAACCGCGTAACGAGTCCTTTAATGTGGGCCAACTTGCTGTGCAAATAATCGAATCGAGCCCGTTTCGCGATGTACCCCTCTCTGCTCTCGGGTTCATTGACGAGTTGATGATATTCCGTTAGAAATTTTTTCTTGTATTCCTATATTTTTCGAGATATAAAAAGATCAACATATTAAAGGATGGAAGGCTTCACTTAATTTTTTTTATGCTATAAAACTATAAAATTTAGGATAAAGGTATATTTTTCATATTATTCTAAAAGAGATAATCATGAAAAGAATTGGGAATAGCCGATGAGGGGTAAGGATGAATCGAGAGTAACGATAAAAAGATTAAATCATTTTTCTATGTAAAGGAATGGGGGATAGAAGAATTAAAGCATTCACCCTTGAGTGGTGAATTGCGGTCCAGGGGGGGGGGGGGGCAACACTCTAATCGTTACTACAAAAAATCTATTCTCGGTACTTTCTTTCTGCCATTTTCTCTAAAATAAAAAATTATTTGAGTGAAGGGGACAACAGTTTTAAAATGATTGGGCGAGAATTTCCTCGCCAAAACTTAGCTCTCTCTATGTTTTTTTCCCCTTTCTTACACGAGCGTTAATAAACAATGATGTGTTACGTTTTTTATTTTAGAAGATCTCGATTTATAAGTAGTAATGGTAAACGAAAATTAAAAAAACATTTATGTTTTTTTTTAAATTAAATTTTTTTTTTAAAAAACATGTTTTTTTTTTAAAATATTAAAAATTATTTAAAAAACGTTTGTAAGGGAACAAAACCTTCAATTTGGAAGTATTATAGTGGATAGGTGGTGTGGTGTATGGGAGGGGGGGGGGGGTTAAAGAGATTATTAATAAAAGCTTTTTAGATTTTTTTTTGCCCTATGAAATTGTGGGCTAGTTATTTTTAAATTGAAGGTCTAGAAAAATAAATTATTATTCGCGATACAAATAAAATTAAAATACGTTACAAAACGACATAAAGACCGCAAGAAATTATTAGAAAGTGGACTCGGGGCCTAATTTTTCTTCGATTCGATTCTAAACGGGTAAGTGGATGGGGTGGGGTGGGGCTTTTATTTTCATAATTAATAGAGGCAGGGGAAAGAATCAAAAAAAATTAAATTGATTTTCTTACAAAAATAATACGTAAAAAAATGAGAGTTATAAAATGAATGTGGTAATGCAAAAAAAAAAAATATATGTAGCAAAATATTGGTGGAATTATTATTTAAGCTGATTAAGGATAATTGAAAAACTCATGATAAAATATCAGGAATTTTATTTTCCGACATCCCAATATTTTATTTATGTCAGATACCTCTGCAGAAGTACCATTTGCAGGGCCCGGTCCGGATTTTTTTAAAATGTAATATATTTCTTTTTGATTTATAATAGCTAATATTGGCGATTTCAAATAGCCGATGTTTAAATATCCGGCCCAGCCCGGATTTTTTAAAAAAAATTTAGGTCCGACCCGGCTCGTGTACCCGGGCCAGTTAGGGCCCGGGCGAGCAAGTTTCTGATTTATGTATCAATTCGATATTTTGTAAAAAAAAAACCTTGTAATCTTTGCTATCGTGATCGTAGGTGTGAAGCTTTTTGTGCATGGCTTCGAACTTGCTGAAAGCGTGCTTGAGCCGTTTGTGCAAAGCCAGGTATTCGGTGTAGTCCTTATCGAAGTCGGTTTTATAGGTCTGTCGCTGATCGTGACTACTTACAGGCGTGTACTGCCTACGGATATATTCGCATTCATTTTTTTTTAAAATGGCAAATATAGGAGAGGATTGATAAATAAAATAAAATAAAGTAACATGTTGAAAGTTGTAAAAAAGATACTTCCAAATGTATCTAGATATTGATATCGATACAAAATCTATCCGAAAATATCGATGATTTGGATATGTTTTTGAAAATTGTATCTAGAAATAGGTACAATTATTTTCGCGAAACACTTCTAATAATTTAATGTAATATAAAATAAAGGGTTATGTAAAGTAGTTCAAAGTTTAGTTAAATCTGCAATTTTTCCCATCTTTTGGAACATTTAAAAGACCAAAGATTGTCAGTAAATTACATATTTTTTTGTGGTAATTTTTATTGGTCTATTCATTCTGACGATGGTTTGGTTCACCTCCGTCTATAAAATCAATTGGAATATCGAAGAACCTAATTTGCTTTATTTGGTCTAAATTTAGCCTTATGAGTATTTGTTTATTTTTTAAATATATAGCTAAGGGAAGGTTAAAAAAGTTCTCTGTAATCTGGAATAAGATTTAGGATCATTGTTACCATCTGCAGGTTGTAAAAGTCAATGAGAGTTTGATGTAAGGAAAGGCATCTTATAGTAAAAATTTTCGCCATTATCCTCTATGAATAGTACAACAAAATATGGGCTGGTCCACATGGGCCCACGCCCATTCATCCGCCTATGACAAGAAAGATGGGGGAGTCCGGTCCACCTAGAATCAGTGTGAGACACGTGATTACAAGCTGGGTGAAAGCGATCGATAACATGAAACTCATAGTTCCGAACAGTGACGATGCCCATGAACATGGAAGAAAACTCGGCTGTCCATGTGAACCAGGAAAAGTGCCACTAAACGAAAAAGATTGACATTCGTTAAGAATAATGATTTGCTAATGTTAGATGCCTTCAAAACGGCTTATAGGAGTTCTTAGGTGAAAAAAAAACAGCTAAGCCTAATTAGGATCAGCCAGAAATTCTGCGAAAACCAATGAGTCAAATATTAGGCATAGGCAAAGGAGCTGGGCTAATCATCCGTTAGCGATATGTAGTAAATATATAAATAAATAATAATCAAGCGTAAGATTAACTTACATAAAGCTCATGGAGGATTAGTCGATGCCTAATTTTTGACCAATTCATTTTGGCAGATTTTTTGGCTATGCCATAATAAAAGATTATGGAGATTTTCTGCCGATTAGAAATTCTAAAGCGAGACAATTTTTTTTTTAAATTTCGATTTGAAATTATAAGCTGAAATTTACATCGATAGCGAATAATTTAAAAATGATTTTAAAATATAAATTTTATAAAATAATTTTTCAAATAGAAAAATATATTAAAACTACGTCTAAAACTCAAAACTAAATTTTTCTAAATAGTAAGATTATTCAAACAAAAAAAATTTACACTGACTTCAAAATTTAAGTATATCCATGAATCCACCTACATGCATCTAACTCCTGGATCTTTCATTATATTTAAACAGTATACAGTAGAGGTATGCGATAAGAAGGTGTTAGCCGGCCCACCCCCAAGTCGAGCGGGCGTGGTCGGGCTTTTTTAAATTTTACAATATTGGGCGGATGGCGGGCGGGTTAAAAAATCTAAGTAATGGTCGGGCATGGGCCGGTGAATTTTTAATATTTTATAGTGTTGTTACATCACCTAACTTTGACTAATTCCAAAATGGATCTGTCAAGTTTTTATCCTAAAGAATTCGTTCCAATATCTAAGTTCGGGTTCAACTTAGAGGTTTTAGTCTCTTTTTTAGGTTGGCTGAGCTTTGTTAGAATTGGCTAAAGTTATGGGGAATAACAACACAAATATTTTCCAAACGAAATGAGCAGAACTGACTTTAATTATAGTTTTATTTCATAATATTGCATATTATATATGTTTAAATAAAAATAAATAAATAAAAAGCCACATCAGGCATTAAAATAATTTTTAAGCATTAGCCGGGTGGTTTAAAAAAATTTTATAGATAAATAGATGGCAAGCGGGTAAAACCAACGAGTGAGCGGGCTTTCTGGCTAAAACCTGCCCATAGCAGACCTTTAATATAGAATACTTAGGCCAAAAAGCGTATTTAACAAAGTCCTAGAGCAATTATAATATTTATAGAGACCTCTTCAATTTTGTAAAAAAAATTAGTAGGCATTTTTCTTGAAAAAGTATATTTGGCCAAAATAAAAAATGACAATTATTTTTATTCGTTATGACTAACTTTAGAAAATCTTGGCATCCTTCTAGAGACGCGTAATCGGGGATCGGCACAATTTCCACGACTTTTTCCATGATTTTTGACTTTTTGGAAGGTGGCTCGGTCGAATGCGACGTTTTTTCGTGACCTAAATGAATGGAAATGGGAGTTTATTCCGCAAAAATGTTTATGATTTTAAGGGACAAATTATAGGCTGGAAGTGTATGGAATGATAGAAAAAAATTTATAAAGATAGAATAGTCTACTTTTTACGGGATTCGCATGACAAGGGAATAAGCAATTTTTTTGTTAAAGCAGCTGAAACCCGTAACCTCGTGATGGGATCATCCAATCCGATAAGAGAGAAATCTCATTTTAAAACTTTCTAGGAACCTGAACCCACCCCCCACTCCAACTTTAAAATTTGTGAGAATTCCTAAGAATTTTCTAAAAAAATTTCGAATTCTGAGAAAAATATAAAGGAGCCAGTAATCTCTATAATCCTGGGTTAATGATTTTGAAAAAAAATGATGCCGATAAAGAAAAATATTATTATATACCTTTTTGAACGTTGAGCGCTTTAGACTGCTTCAAGTGGGGCGGAGTTTTACCATTGTCCAGAGGCTTGGGACTAGAGGTGGGCGGAATTTTTCGCTTAACGAACAATATTTCGGCTGGTGTGTAAAGAGGGCACTCTAGTTTGAGGTCGGCGAAAGCGTGCCTGGCCAAATCGTAAGCGTTTTCCTTGCTATTGAAAACGGCTATGGAATTCAGGATTCCGGTTACTTCGTTGCTAGGAGCCTTGATATCCGGGTGTTCTGAGAAGAAAAGGAAATGAATCAATTATTCGTAGATTAGGAACAGTTTCTATTTTTTGTGCGCGACTTGGGACGCTTAAAAGTTATCGATTTTTAGGTTTTTATTTTTAAAAAAATTCAATACCTTTTTCGATTTTGAGAATAATTTCGGCGCGTTTGCATGGTTTGAGAGCTAAAGCGTGTATTATAATGTCCCTTTAGGAAAGCGGAAAGAAAATGATAAATTAAGTTTGAATCACCGATAAAAAAAAAATTTTCCGCCTTTTTTAAATATTTATTCCCCCCCCCCACCAATTACTGGTGTTAATATTCGGATCAATAATTTTATAAAAACTTCAGGGAGTATTTCGCGCCGTCCACCGGAGCAATTTTATCCTCCTCTTTACCATCCGGATCATGGCCTTTGTCGGTTTTGAGCGCCACTTTTTCGATTTTTTCTTCGGCCCTTAGGACAGCTTTCTCGACCTTCTCCAAACTCTTGAAACCTTTAAGGAGGCTTTCCTGGATCGGCGAATTGTGGGTCAAAGTATCGCGTGGCAAACGGTGATTCTTGGACTGGGGCTTATTGGACGGGTCGAATGTGAAAGGGATCGGCCTGAACAAGTTGGTGTTCTTATTGAAAAGCCTGTTGTCTTCGCTTTGCTTCTCGTTAATACCGCTATTGGGGGCCAGCACACTTTTACCGCTGACAAGTGTGTCATTGGTACTCGCAATTTTAGCGGGTTGTTTTTCGGCTTCACTCTGATGACCTTTCCCGCTCTTGAGACCTTCGGCGGGAGAAATTTTATCCGCGCTCGATCCTGTGGCATTTAAACGCGGTAATAAACAGTAAGATACGACATACGAATTTGAAGAATAAAAATGATTAAGAGATGAAATACGAGGAAATATTAATTTTTATTTGAATAATGGAATATTATTTTTTTTTATGACACATTTCATAATGTCATCCATTGTTCAAATATTGTAATATTTTGTAAGTTTTTGAAGGAAGATTAGAAAATGTTAACAATGCTTAGATAATAACCATTAGATAAGATATGAGTATATAGTTATTATTGAAAACTTCAAAAATCAAGATTGACAAACATGTATCAATATTTGAATATTAATCGTTAACAATCTGATTCTCATTTCCATTAATAGTGTTTTTTATTCATATCCCCTTTGAAATAAAGCTCAAAAAAGATTGTACTGATTAATCTATAGTTTAGCTTGTCCAGAACCTGTGGGATATGAGTGATTTTGTACACTAAGGTACACGTAGCTCATGCGGTGCTTAAATTTTAGCATTCTTGCCCCCCCCCCTTTTATATTTCTGAATATATCTAGAGTCAAAATAGAAACCTATTTTTCAAAGATTTACTATAATATCAAAGAAATAAAGAAAACATACACTTTAAAAAAAATATATATAACTTAGAAGGATTTCTTCTAAATCAAAAGAGCTGGCTAAAAGACGATGTCTAGCATAAATACATTCTTGGAGTCGATCCAAAATTATTTGATTCATCATTTTTGAATCGAATATAAATATCTTAATATTTGTTCGATTCATTTTTTTGAGAGCAAGTTAGATAGAACATTATAATAATTTATTTAACCCCCGATGTTGGCCGAGACTACCGTGCTCTTGATTCTCGCTATATCATTGGGGGGATGTTTTGGAGGAATTGCTACAATCTTCTGCAAACTTGCGGTATTCGGTGGGATCTTTTTACCACTTTGATCGACGTTGACGCTGGTGGGGGTAAAGCGGGACGACTGAGTGGGTCTATTACCGCTGAGGAGAGATGTGTTGAAATTGACAGCGGAAGCTTATAATAATCAGGTCAGAGATGTGATAATAAATAGGACAATATTAAACTTAAAAATGATAATATTTAATTATACCACATTTTATTTAGCATTTAAATTCGGATTGTCGCCCATGCCAAATTTCGTTCACAAAAAAAAGGTATAAAGGCACCAATCAGTAATCAGCAAAAGTCCAGTCCGATCGGACCCGTCTCAATTCGGTTCGCTAAAAAGATCCGCTCCAAGAACCGATAAATTTTAGAAACTTCTCGTTACTCTCTTAGAGAATATAAGACCACAGCAGAGGTTTTTAAATTTAAATAACCGGTATCGCTTTAAAAATATTCACCGGAAAGCTTTTATAAAAATTCGTTACTCGGTCTATTCGATCGGTATTTGTGGCAATTTACTAGCATATTAAAAAAAAATATAATCAAATTTGGACGTAAGTTATAAATATGCAAATTTAGAATTTAAATAAGTGACTAGTTATTGCCTAAAGCCTTTCTCTTTTATTAACAGTTTATTCGTTATTGTGAATATTTAATTTTTTTTATGTTTATCTTCAATTATTTTAAACAATTTTTTTGCCAAAATTTTTGATCGAAACGGAAAAGTAGAAGGATTTGGAAGGTATGAAAAAAAAGAAGTGATCCTTATGTAAAAATTTAATAGCGGCGACCTAAATTATGCGTTGGCGTTTCGTTACGCGAAACGCTGACAAACGCGTTTAGAATGATTACATCTCGCAAATTGATCGCAATTTTATGAACATTGATAAAAACGGAAAGGGTTTGCTTTTTTTTCGAAAACGCTCAATTAGGTCACACTTATGTTAGTGTCAATGTGTTATTTTTACCACTTGGGAGCTCTTTTAAGCATTTAGATTTTACCGGAAATGGAATACCTATATTATGAATTGCACGAATTTGCTAACAAACCTTTGTGTAGTTTATAATTTATATTTAAAAAAAAATATATGGAAAATTTAAATATGAATATTAATAAGTTTAAAAGTTCACGGAAAAAAAATGTCTAAAATTCATAGGGTATTCCCAAACATAATACAAATACATTTCCGGTAAAAATCAGATATTTAAATTTAAAAATAAGGCGCGCAAAAAATATTTTAAAGTTATTGGCGGAAAAAAATAGTGTTGTTTAAGTTACTTTTGAAACATAACTAGTTACATTGGTAAAAATGTAACTATACAGTTAATTTTAGCAAAAATGTTACTTTAACAACACTAGAAAAAAACACATCATATTTCAATTTTACTAAATTATTGCATTATTTCTAAATTATTTTTTTTTACAATAAGAGAATTCTTAAAAAAAATGTAAATGTAATATAATTGGCATGTGGCAAAATTTGTTCAACTGGTGAAATTTTTAAATTTATGATCTCCTCAAAAAAATATTTACAAACAAAAAATTATAAAAAAAAAAAATTCGATAACAATATTTGTTTGTTAGTGGACGACACTACGCCACTTAAAACCATCTGGGCCTTCTAGAAAAGGGTGGGCCTTCTATAAAAGGGGGATAGGGGTTTAATGGAAAGGTGTCATGGGAATTCGATCATTGAAGTGCTCTCACTCTAAATTTCTTTATAATAATAAACCAAGGAAGTGTCGTATTTTCTAGAAACAAGAGAGGGGGTAGGGTGAGATTGGGACAATTAATTATCGGGAATGTGTTCCTTAAAACCGTTTACAGAATTTTCTGGGTGTTCTCTTAAAATATTCCAGGGAAACCATTTCTAAATTATTTTTTAAGGCCCTGTTCCGTGAGAACCGGAAATGAGCGGATACCAATGATCATCTATAATTATTAAAATCAAATTTTTAAAATAATATTTGGCTAATATGATAATAAATTTAATATATTTTTAAAAAAATTACATTTCATTTTGTCGATGGAAGGAGATATAGAGGAAGCTCTAATGTTGTTGAGCATTTTCCTGTTCATGGGCAAATTATGTTTTCCTACTTTTATTTCTTTGACCCTGTGAAGATAAAAAAAACAAGAGAATTATTTTTAAACCAATCAAAAAGTTGCCTCGAAGTCGAAAAAAGGGAGAATTCTAATTGGGTAATCTTACAAAGAGTAATAAACCCGTTCTCCGAAATGGCGCTAAACCCGCGATAGAGAAAGTAGCGGTTGGTCAAGATTTCAGGGAATATAAACTCCTCGGAATAAAAGGAATAAAAGTGTGAGAGAAGGTTATAACCGATAATGGAAATAGTTAAAGCTATTTATCGTCAAGTTATCACCTGACCCTTTCTTCACTATTATTTACAAGTAAACATATTTTTTTCTTAAAAAAACCTGATTTGTTTGTTTTTTTCCTCGGCTATCGCCATTTTTTCTTTCGTGGTTTGGTAGATTGCCTCGTTGGCGTTGATTATGAATTTTTGCTTTATCTTCCCGAGGGGTTGAAAATTTCTTTTAATTTTTTTTTTTTCAAAATGTTACAATTTTTTTAATTTCATCATTTTCTTTTCTTTTTCTTTTCATTCTATTCTATTTTTAATAATAATTTTTTAATCTGTTTCTTCGTGTATTTATTTACGCGAAAGTTTTTTTTTAAAAAAAACAAAATGTAAATAAACAGGCATGACTTTCAAAATAAAATGTAATATCGAAGAGGTTCAATTATACAATAGAAAACCTACAAATGTAAGAAAAAATGGCGGGCATTCAATACCAAACGATATTTTGGGGTGAGTTAAAAAAAATGGCGTATAATCAATATTAAACGATATTATGGGGTTCGTAAAAAAAATGGCGGGCATTCAGTACCAAACGATATTTTGGGGTTAGTTAAAAAAAATGGCGGGCATTCAATACCAAACGATATTATGGCGTTCGTAAAAAAATGGCGGATAATCGATACCAAACGATATTCTGGCATTCGTAAAAAAATGGCAGTTAATCCAATAATTATGGCGTTCGTAAAAAAAATGGCGGATAATCCAAACGATATTCTGGCATTCGTAAAAAAATGGCAGTTAATCCAATACCAAACGATATTTTGGGGCTAGTTAAAAAAAATGGCGTATAATCAATACCAAACGATATTATAGCGTTCGTAAAAAAATGGCGGATAATCGATAACAAACGATATTTTTACAATATTGTTTTGAGGATAATTACTATATTCCCCCCTCCCATTTTAAGCTATTAAATAAATCATTAATAAATTAACGCGCCAATGCTTAGCGGGTACCTTTTAATTCTCCGCTGGCGCCCATGAGCCGATTTTTAGCTATCACACCATACTGGTAAAAATGGCATTATATCAGATGGTTGCCCGAGAGGGAAAGATTCTTGGGTCAGCACAAATTCGAAAAGGACCAAATAAAGTATTCGCATAATATGGGAATGTTAGGTGATAGTGAGATTCTAGCGGCGAGATGAATAAACTGGAAAAAGGGGGGGGGGGAATCAATCATATCACGAATAGTGTCTCGAAACCGGCCCGAAACTGATAAATTCCTTCGTTTTTGCCGTCGACTCTAAAACAACTAAGAGTTGGAAATCAGGGAGGGGGGGGGGGATGTTGTAGAGAGAAATAAGCGGACTTTGCAATAATTAAGTATACGCTTAGTTTTAAAAAAAAATCTTCAAAAAAGTCTTCAGAGAAAATTTTTTGAAGATTTTTTTTTATTACCGGAAGCTTGTAAAACTAGAATCACTCTGTAAAAAAAATCCAAGAACCCTTTTCGAGTGCGGGTTACTTTGAGAATACACCATAATCACGAATAGTTTTTCGTCGATATTAGTGCCCGACCTAAACCCAATTAGTATTTCTAAAATTTCCGCAGGCGAAAATTCACAAATATTAAAATTAAATGAAATACGCGATATCCCTATTTCCCGAAAAAAAATATGGCATAATAGACCGCGAAAATGGTGCGACGTTGCGAAATTAAGCGTATTTTGTGTTTTAGCTATTTTCTAAAAAAAAATAATTAGGAAATCTTAAACCGAAACCAAAAAAAAAAGACATCTGGAAATTGGAAGTTGTTTTAAAAAATATAATTCTTTTAAAGTAAGATTCCAAAATTATATTTATTTTAAAATTGTTGAAAAACAATTGGACCCATTATTTTCTTTCTTATTATTCTTTAATTTCTTTCCATTCTTTCACATTATTTTTTTCAATCTCTTTCCATTCTTTTTCATATTTCGTCCGAAGATATTTTTTCATTCTTTTTTTCAAATGCTCGGGGGAAAACCCGGAAATAAATTTTTTTTTTGAATCCATTCTTATTTTAGTTAATTTTTTTAAAATCCCTTTAAAAAAACGTAGTGGTATAAATTATATAATTTAGATAAAATTACAATATTTATAGATAAACAAAAATATAGGTCCGAACCTACCCCATACCCTTTTACCCAATGTTACATTATAATCGGAAGGCTAGATAGGCGTAAATTTTAAATATTTTTTCTCGAAAATTAAATGAACAACAAAAAAATTAGTTGCCCTTAACTCAAATATTTATAATATTAACATATATATATATAATAAATAATATCTAATTCAACGAGGAAAATAAAATTTAAAAAAAAATAAAATAAAATAGATATTATTCAAAAAAAAGGGTTTTTAATTTGTTTATCATTACTATTTACTTTTATTGTTATAGTTAAGATATATAGGTCCGCAACGGGTGAATTTTTAGCTCCCCGCTAGTTAAAAGATCCTAAACATCTGTGTGGATGAATTTTAAAAAAATTTTCGAACGAAAAAAGGAAAACCTGGCTTAAAATCTTAAGTTTTAGCGAAAATATATTAAAATAAAGTAAATAAAGAGTCAAATCAACCAATCAAACATTTTTTTAAACGTCAGCTTGTCAGTTCAAGTTAAAACCCCTCCAATTGCGGATAGCGAGTTTAGTTATGTTTTAAAAAAAAGAATGAAGGAAAACATGGCTTCAATTATTATGGTAGGTCCGATGTGGACCAGGGTTAATTAGTTTATATTACGAGATTATTAGATGGGTCGATAGTATGAGAAGGGGGTGAGATCAAATCAAAAAGCCCAATGATATGGAGTAATAGGGTATCCTCCTGTGGTGCTCTAAAACGCTCCATTTTAAATCATTTACTGAGAACCTCAGAGTGCAAATCCCAAAAACGCGAAATTTTTAAATAATTCTTATTAGATTTTATAATTTTTATTAAAAAATATATATATATATACAGAAAATTATCTGACGGAACTGTCGCTTGCACATGCTAAAAATTCATTCCCGGTTTAATCATATTTTTAATTTAAAAATGGCTGATTCTAAATCACCACCATAGGAAGATCCGTGTTAGTCCTTCTTATTCCAAATTAGCTAACCAGATATAATATTGTAATTCCATCAGAGGCGTACCAGAAACCCCTGAGTGGATGGTGTGGGCACATCAATTTTGCGGATACTAGTGTCTCAAATAATTGGGTGGATTCCCATGAGAATTTTTACGATGCACGATGCACAACCAAAAAAAAATTTATTAATAATTTCAATAATTCATACTAACAACGCTCAACCCCCTGCAACTCTGCCCAGCAAAGATGGAAACTATGAATTCAATAAAAATGTTTTAGGAACCTTTTTTTGTATTTGACACATTCGAATGACCCTTCCCCCCCATTTGTATTAACCAAATCTTGAATATTAAAATTCAAATCAACCCCATTGCTGCCAGTGTCATGAGGAACGTTCAGTGCTTGAGCATTGAGTTTAATCTTCGGTGTTCCAGATTCATTTTTGTTGATCACTTTTATTATCTGCAATATTGCGAGTAAAAAATTTAGATATAATATAAAATACGTTTAATATATTGGGTATGGGGGTGATGAGATTTAACGTTGGTCATCATATAGCAATTTTCCTGAACAATGCCCAAATTTTTATTAAAATAAGAATTAGACTCATTTTTATATTAACATATCACGTGTTCGCTTCTCATATTCTATACAGCATACCCCGCCCCAAAGCACAGAACTAATCGATTCACGGAAAGAAAAAAACTAATTCCAGCATGTTTTCGAAACTATAAGCTGATATACGCACTCCCTGACTACGTTACAAAAGCAATAGGAATCAACAAAAAGAATTTGTACAAGAATAGATTAAAAATATAACCCTAATAAATCAAAACACATAAATAAAATCGATAAAGTTCAACACTGTACATCATTACACTAATGTATTTGTTCAGGGAGTATTTCACAAGTTCAGATTTTATATTGATGCATGAGACCTTCTATCAGGTAATTATGAATAGACTCGTAAAAATAATGTTATGTAGAACACACTAAAAGATAATATTCAAGCATATTAAAATAAAATGGTCCTTATGTGATTAAAAACCTCGAAAAATATTGACAAAATAATTAAACAAATCAGCTTCAAATTATGTTTTAAAGATGTAAATTTTAATCATAAAATCCTTGAATGTGTTGCAAAAAAAAATATTGAACATATAAGACACCTGGTATTAGTAATTAAACATCAAACTTAAATCAAAAACGGTTTGAAAAATAATGTTTTCATAAAATGACTCAAATTTTGAGTGCTGTGTAAATTATTCATTTTTTTATATATTGATATATATTTATTTGGAAACTGATATTATCTTCTCTTTTTTTGGTTTAGTTATAAAAACCTTAATTTAGGTCCAACTCATTGAAATCACCATTGTAACAGCTGATTTATTTAAATTTCTATTAATCTATTTATAATCAAAGTGATCATAACTGATTTGACAGGTTATTTAATAAAAATGATAACACTCTATTTAAAATTATTTTAAATATATTTTAATAACCTATATCTCATAACCCTTTAATTAATCCGAGCTGATATTTCTAAATTTAATCTTACTGTGGGCAAATATAATAATACACAAAACAAAGTTGAACCGAAATGAGAATGGTTAAATGGATACAAGGGAAGGGATATATCTGAGAATGAAAAAAAAAGCAGAGAACTGGGAGAAAGGATTGATCTAGAAGCAATAGGTGATATTGTGATAAGAGGTGGATTAATAATCTTTTGGGCATATTGAACAGAAGGTAACTGGCAATTGGGCAAATAGATGCCATTGGTTGGAAGTGGAAAAAGACACCAGGGTTGTTGAAGATAAGCTGGGTGAAAGTGGTAGATGATTATGCAAACTTTTATTATATTTTATTTACTTTTACAACCTTTATATATATGTTCAATTATAAATATCCTTTCAATATATTAAAGATTAACAGGTGAAATGTTTATCTAAAAAATAAAAAATAAGAAAATCGAAAAGCAAGAAGAAATAAGGAAAGTTCTTTGGAAACTACTGTCATTAAAGATTAAGTAGTTCACTTTAAATATTTCTATGGTCAGCCTTTGTTGTAGGAAAAATCCTTCACAAAGTTCATCTTTAAGTTTACTGATTTTGAAGCCTAAATTTTTGAAGAATGCTAATGCCAGTTTACCAAAGATAGTAAGTGTGGTCAATATAAGGTCATTATAATTTATAAATATTTCGAGATTTTATATCTTTTGGGTTTTAATCAAAAGGTTGTAAAAGTGAATAAAATGTAAATAAACAAAAGTTAATTATCCAAAAAAATAATATTATGGTTTTATATAGTCATAATCTATCCAAAAAAATAAAAATCAATTTATTAAAATAATAAATTTTTTTGTAAAATAAGGCTCATAATGGAGAAGGGAAAGAGATAGCTGATCTTGAAAGTGAATCAAGATGTTCAAAAAAATACTAGTTATATATTTGAGTAATGTTTGTTAGTGTTATAATTTAATATTTAAGCTCAGGATAGGTCATAAGTTTCACTTTACACTGATAAAATAAGTTTAAATAATTTACAATAGGTATTTGTGTAATAACAAATCAATTGTAAGTGGTGAATTTTAATAATTAGTTTTAGTTGAAATAAAGAAATTTAATTAAACTCAATATTTTTTAAAAAAATCATTTGAATCATGATTTAAATCAAATTAATTTACCTATTAAAAAAAATGAGGTATTTAAGATTTAAAAAACATGATATAGAGCCTTTTTGCAGTTAAAAATAATAAATTAATATATCATATTCACCATATAAACACTGTAATAAAGAGTGTGAAGAGATTAATTAATTGCATTCAAATGTAAGACATTAATATAGAATAATAATTTAATTAAGAAACTTACTCCTTGATTATCATTGGTCTTGATAGCAATTTTTAGTTGAAAAGCATTTTCCTAGCATAATAAATAATTTTATAAGAATCATAAATAATAGAATTTACATTCAAAACGCATTTTTCAAGTAGTTTTTGAGCAAAATCAGTTAGTTTTACTAAATAGAAAGATTTATTTTTATTCTGGACATATCTTGGCTTCAAAGAAAATTCTCCTTCCATCTTTAGTAAACAGAAGGTTTTATTTATAATTCATCTTTATTTATTTTGGTTCTAGAATTGTTAAAATTACATTTTCAAGTCAAAAATTATCTTGTTAACTTAATCCACGATGTAAATTTGAAACTATTTATATAAATTGATTGATGTGTCAAATTTCGATAATAATAGAGAACCGTGAGATTAGTTTACATTATAAACAATATTTTGACTATAAATATATTGAAAGTAAATTTTGCATACTAATTAAATTATCTAACTTTCTTGGTTTTCTTTGCTATAAATCTAGATTATTAAGCTTTCATATCACATCAATCTGTTAATCAACTATATATAATTATAAAAGTAGGATATTTGTAGGATTCAATTATTGGAGACTTTTAGTGCATGCTCACAGCGTTTTAATACAGCGGAGGAGTCGGTTGAAGCCATTTGCCTTCAAATTTTTGAAGGAGAATCAAATAGACATACATTCCCTGATCTAAGAAAGTAGAATAACCTATAAAAAAATTGCCCCAATTTAAAAAAAGCAGTTAACCTTTTTGAATTTACCCTCAATTATAAATTTAAAAAATAATATGCAATTTATTTTCAAACTGACCTTTTTTTTAGCTAACATTTTCAAAATAACCTCTTTATCAAAATGACGCCTTTTTGGTATAAAAAAATTTTTGAAATTTACAGGAGACTCTTCAAAATTTTAAAAGGCTTGAGCCCCTACGCCCCCGTTTTATTTAACTTTAGATCATCTACAACAATTACATATTCAATTTAGTTTAAAAACATGTGATTTTAAAATTTAACAGATACGTCATTAAACTCTATTATATCAAATCGAGGGCAGCATAAAATAAGCTAATATTATATTTATTAAAGAAAGTATATACCATTTGAAGCCTATTTCAAAATCAGAACAATAATTTCTCATCTTCATATCATCTATCAGCAATAAAAACATTCGAAAATTTAGTGTCATTATCTAATTAAGATCAAAAAATGATAAAAGACGATAGCTTAATTTATATTTCCCAATTGTAAGATAATCTATTGCAGATTTATACTCTTTAATTTTGTTTACAATTTTGTATTTATGATCTATAATAATTTATTCAAAACACAAAATGATATAATTTCAAATTTTTCTATTCGAAAAATTATAACATCCGTAGTAGAAGTACCAGGATATATAATTCTTAAAATTTGTCCAAACTCCTTAAAACATTTTAAAGTAAGGAAAAAAATTAATAGTTTTTTTTTTATCATGATAACACGCTGAATACATAAAATAAATCCAATTAAATTATCGTTGGTGTCAGTACATCACTCTAACATTCTTTCAGCACTGCATATATTTTTAATCCCATTGAAATATATGAAAATCTCGTTCACGTCCCTAAAATAGTCCTTAGTTCCCTTTTAGATTGGCATAATTAAACAATGATTAGATTTAAATCTATAAAATAATACTAAATAAAGCCGCCTTTGGTCAATCCTAATCAAGGCCTATATTCCGTTTATCCTTCCACTCCTCCGAAGCATCATCATTATAGCCTTTCTTACTAAAAATTTGAGGGGTAGATTTATGGAAATAAGCATGTACATATTTTTAAAATATCAACAAATATTAATAAATCCGTCAACAGGCTTTGGTGTTTTACCATTTTCAATATATCTTAATATCAGCGTTATTGCTTAAGATTTAGAAACATCATATTATCATCGCCTATATTTGAAAAGTATATATTTTTAATATCTTTTTCAATTATTTTTTAATAATTTTTTGTTATTGAAAATTTTCTCATATGCACATATCGGAATTGATATTCTGTCATTTAGCTAAGCCCACACAATATATGAAATTAAAATTAAAAACAAAAATTTTCAGTTTAAAAATAAAAAGAAATTAAAATACACTCAAATCCATATGGTTGCACAATATTTTCTTATCAATCAATTGCTTCAATTCAAAGGTTTGTACTCACATCAAGATTTAAGGAAGCAGTATAGAAAATTAAATTAAAAAGAATTAATGTTAATTGAACTAATTTAATAATATATGAAGTTAATAATAATTCTAATAAAAGAAAATAATTTTAATAAAAGAAAATAATTACCTTTACTGTTATATAATTATATATATATAATGATATATATGAAATGTAAACAAAAGTGATCCTTTGAATTAGTTTTGGTTTTTGTTAGAGGATGAATGTAAAAGAATGATGATTTCTTTTGTTGATGCATTTCTATATGTATCTTTGAATTTGTATATACTTAAATATATGTTTATGATATGGTTCTGAATGTAAGATTAATATAATTCATGGGAAATAAAGTTAATTTTTATTATACATATATTCGTTTGCATATTTTAAAGGATGTGTTAGTGTTAGATGTTCAATACTTTATAAACTTTGCATGATTATAATAGAATAATTATGGTATTAAAAATTTTTATAAAAAAACATAAATAAATAAATTAGATTGCAGTTAGAAAGTATTTTTGAACCAAATAATAATTTTCGTATATGTATATGTTAACGTCAATGAGTTTTTTTTCGACAATGTGTTATTTTTTCAACTTAAATTGTTTTTTTAAGCGCCTTTTTTTAAATTTAAAAAATCGGATTTTTCCGGAAATGTATTTATTGAATCTCCCACTTACCAATTCATTTACCAATCTTCATTCAATGGTTAATATATCCTTATATTTATATTATGTATCCAAAACAGTCAATCTAATATATCTAAAACAATCAATATATTATCAATATAATTATATAATCATTTTGTTTCTTCGTTCAATCTTGATAATCCTTGTCCTTTCTTCCCAACAACAATTGCATCAGGTGATCTCCCCCAAAATCCTTTTCCTTCACAATTCCAATCCATAATCCCCAAGGAAAAATTAATTATTAATATCAGAAAATGACTGACATTTAGTATATTATATTAAATTAATTTCTTCTTTTTTTTTAAAGGCTACAACAGTATTCCCGCATGTTTAGATTACTTATCTTATTTGTGGAAAATTTTGCCGTTATCCTCATATAAAAAAATATATGGAAAAATTAATATAAATTATATTAAGTTCAAAGGTATCATTACAAAATTATCTTAAACTTATATAAAAAAACGCGCCAAAAAAATGAATTAAAATTGAAAAAAAAAGAAGACATTGCCTATAACATATATAAATTAAAAACAAAAAATTGGGCATTTTAATAATAAATCTCATAATTCGCTTATAAATTGCTTCAGATAATAAATCGTAATGAACTACAAATTATAAAATAATAATAATCTTGATAAATATCTAAATTAGGCAATTCCCGCATAATAAAATAAATATTTCAAATTTGGATATCAGTTCATTCACAACAAATAAATACATGGTATATTTATAGTGGTTATGCTATATTGATGAGACATAACATCTAATGTTGTTAAACGGCTCGATGCTAACTCAATGTTTTATCCTAATAGAAAATAGCCTGAAGATTTTTCTCATAGGCACAAAGGTTTGGACATCTGTTGGCGAAATCTCGAGGCTTTGGCAATATTATTTTTTTGACTAATATCTTGAGTTAGCCGTTTTTAAAAATCGGCTCAAACAGAGCCGTTTAACATCACTACTAACAACAAGGTTGATATCGGTTTAGGGTTACAAAATTGATATCGTTTATGTGTATAATCTCTTTAATATGCTGGATCGCCAAAAAATAAATAATATTTTGACATATTACCACCTATATTATGCATATAATTATTAAAAAATAAAAAGGTTTAACGCTAATAAATTGTCAGCATGTTATATTATAACTCCACCACGGGAATGGGGGTTGGGGATGAGGCGAGATCGGCATTGAAATCTAAGCGGGTAGATAGTAATCGCCTTATGGTTATGGAATTGAAGAGGGCTTGGAGACTAGTTTCAAATAATTTGGTAGGGATGAGTGTAATAGTTTTCAGGTGTAATTTTTTTTGTTAGTGTGATTAATAATGGTGTCCTCTCTAAATTTTTTAGGTGGCAATTAGGTAAGAATTTAAAAATTCCAACAAATAAAAGGATCCAAATCTTATTTTACATTCGAAAAATATAAATAATAAAAATGTTTATAAAATATAGGTCTTAACTATATTATTAAATAAAAAAAAATTATTAATTTATTTTAAATAATCGTAATAAATAAAAGATTTTTTTAAAAAAAAATTAATTCTATAACATTAAGAAAATATACATGATCAGAAAAAATAACAAATTAGAGATTATCTAATAGGTCCTCATGGAATATATGTTTTCATGAAATTCCGGTTATAATAAAATATAAAAAATTTCATATACTGGTTAGTTTAAATAATATGTAATCATCCAAATTATGATCCATGGCTCCGTCTACTGAAAGTCGTTGTTTGGACAATGGAGTTTGAACTAAACTAATATTGATTGGCATTTTGCCAATTCGTAATTTTTGAGTTGAAGAGATGTCAAAATTTTTGTCCAGATTGTAAATTTATTTGATTCCTTAGCATAAATGTTTTAAGGCCAAAATTTTAATTATCTCATCACTATTATCGCTTTTGATCAATATATATTTCGAAGGGGCCATTTTGAACTAGATCTTTTTTGTCATATTCCGCGTTAAATTTAGACTCTGGGTTTGTCGGATGTGCTGTAGTTTTCTTTCTATTTCTGTATCTTTCTATCATAATATTCATAATCTGGAGGGTCGTAATGAATTGGTTCGTTAAATTGGAAATCAACCATCTCATAATTGATTACGGTTGGTGGTTCCTCTTCGTTGACAGTAAAGTTAGTGGGTAAGGCATGACTAGATAGATTTGGTGACCGTGATATTAGAATAGTGAGATAGATAAGCTGGGGTAGGAATATCCAAATTACTCTTGTTAACTTTGGGAAGAATAATATATTTCGAAGTAACGCCTACAATACAAATATATATGCATGAGGTGATTATTTTTTATTTAATCCTAGTTCCAAAACTGATTTTATGTGAAAAAAAATAAAATAATTTATCATAAATTATATTAATTTAAAACACAGGTTTTCAAGATACAAAATGTAATTCTCAAAATAGGATATGCATGTATATTATATTATATGCTATAAAATTATTCGAGATCGGCTATCACAAACCTGCCTCTTAACTGTCATTCAAAAAAATTTCCGCCAGGATCGTAAAATCTACTTAAATTGTTCTAATCCACCGCTGCCCTCTTATGATTTTTTCTGTGAATCGGCCCAAACCTATATTTTTTTTGGACTGGGTTTTTTTCGGGCTTCCGGTTGGGCAGATTTCTAATGAGCAGAATACTACCAATACGTATATGTAATGGTATAATGTATGATAACAATATAGATAGGTTAAATATTGATTACGTGAAAAAACATATATAATGGCGTGGTCCGAGGAATAATGTATTAGATGGGGTGTATAAGAAACATAACAAAAACATTATATAAATTAATAATTATTATTCTAATTAATAAGAAACGATTAAACTAAATTTTAAAAAAGTAGATTATGACGACGAAATTAACCGACATTAATTACGTTTCAGACATAAGCTGTATTAAATTTTTTTTAAACAAATTATTTATCTTCTCTTCCATTCTTTTCTTTTCTATTCTTGTTTCTTCTTTTCTTTCTTCCTTTTTTTCTCAAAAACAATTCGTGCGATCTCCATTTGTAAATTTTTCCTATACCCGTTTTAGTTTGTAGAAATTTATATAACGGCTCAATGCTCTGATATATATAAATTGGTAGGGAAGGCTGGGGATCTTATGAGCCCGGGGTTCCTATGAGCCTTGTAGTTTTTTTTCTAGATTACTCAATTCTTATGCTTAATTTTTTTAACCAAAATATGTATAAACTTATATATTATGCATAGGCGGCTTTAATTTTTTTTAAAAATATTATAGGATCATCATCTAAAATTTTTAAAATATAATACAATATATGATTTATACCCATTAAAAGCAACTTTTTTTAAAATGCTCCAATATATAAAAAAAATAATAAAGGTTTTAATTATCCAATAACTCTTTTATATAAATTATTAAACCCATTCATTAATTCGTTTTTACTTAAATTTTAAACATCTTATAAATAATTTAATATAACTATTTTTAAAACAGAGGAAAAGGTTATGGAGAACAGGGGGAATGCTCATGATGGATTCTTCGTAAAACTGCCTTGGAACGTGAGGAATAAAATTGTGGGATCAGACTAAAAAAATATAATGGGGTAACCTTTATTTGGTCGTGTTAAAAGGAGACCGGATATATTGGGGGAAAAAAATAAACTAGAAATAGAGGTAAAACGCCTGAAGAGGGCATTCTAAATATTAAGGATGAGATTGTCGAAAAATAGATAAGTTCCAAAGGATAACATGTTAAATGACAAAAAAGTATTGAGGGCTTGAATTACTTTCATACGTATAAATAGCAGTAACTTTATTAAAAAAAGATCCTCTTTAATCCCCTGGAGTTTCCTGAAGATTTATTTTGTAAGCGATCTATTTATACATTTGACATGTTCATATCAGCTTCAGAATTCTAGGTGCCAAATTTCTAAAAAGAGTTTACTGAATGCCTTGTTCTATAAATGAAGTTTTAAGTTGGGCACTTAGACGTTATTTAGATTGTAAGGAGGTACAATGATGTATAATGGGTATCTAGCAATTTTTGCACTGTTAAATAAAGGCGGAGTCCAACTGAATCTAACAAATATTAATTAATGGAGTTTCCAGCTGATATAAAAAAACAAAGTTCTGAATTCTTATGAAATTTAGTGCTACCCTAGCTTGACTAAAACTGGGAAAAAATAAATAAAACAAATGATCCGTGTTTTACAACGGTAGGTTCTAAATTTGCTTTTAAAATTTCTATATAAATGTAATTATTTTTAAAAATGGAAGCATAAAATTTGCAAATAAATTCTGTCGATAAAATACAGAAACGAATTGAATACAAATATCACTATTAATCTAAGGCAAAATCGATGTCATAATTATCTTTATCACGGACAAGGAACTCAGTTTTAAAAAGGATAAAGGTATATTGATATGAATTGCTTGATTCCATTTAAACCCGCGTTTTATGTTCCTCGTGTAGACTTAAAAGTCGTGTTCCGTTTCAGGAGACATATTTATTTTCTAACTGATACACAAATGTTTAATCAATAATTATCGTAATATAAAATCACTTATTCCATATATAAGAATTATAATACTCTTAAAAGATTATTCATATTATAGGTAGTTGTGTGGTGGTGGCGTTACTATGGATATAGTCTATATAATATAAAACTCTTTTTAGTAAATGTTGTATTCATTTTATAGTAGAACAGTCAATATTGTTTAAATTCAATTTAGGGAATTATTTTTAAATATAATGATCACATAGTATAAAACTAAACAAAAAAATGACTAGTTTTTTAAATTGCTTGGAATATTGCTTTAGAACAAAAAAAATCTCAAAATGTTCGTTTATGGTTATATATAATTGTTCGATTCAATAGCTTGTAATCGTTATAGCCTGGGATTTAAATTGCTTCCTGGTCTTAAGTTTAACTTGGTTTCAAATATAAATCTTTAACTCCCCTTGTGATCTGAGTAGTGTTGTTAAACGGCTCGTTTTGAGGATTTTTAAAAACGGCTAACTCAATATTTTAGCCAGAAAAATGTTGCCTATACCTCTCCAAACCTTTGTTCCTTCTACAGACAAAATTTTCAGACTTGCATAATATTATTCTAAATTAAATATTGAGTTACCCGTTTTTAAAAATCGGCTCAAAACGAGCCGTTTAACAACACTAGATCTGAGTAAGGTATAATACTAATCCCGCTATAAAAGATTTTTTTTTTTAATTAAAAATCAGATACAAATACAAAAGGATTTTGTTCATTTATAAATATACAGCGACGTTTACAATAAAGTTATAAAAAAAATAATAATAATATCATAACAGCATACCTTCATCCTAAACTTACAAAAAAATAATGAGAAAATTATATATATGTTAGCGTCAACGTGTTAAATTTTTTTCAACTTTAAATCATTTATCAGAGAGTTTTTTCTTTAAATTTAAAAATCTGATTTTACTCGGAAATACATTCCAATCATGTTTGGAATACCTATTTTATGAAATTATAGATAATTTTACTGTTAACCTTTGAGTCATTCATAATTTTATATTAAAAAATATATGGAAAATCTAATATAAAATTTAATTAAATTCTAAAGTTCGTGGCAAAATTGTCTGAAAGGGGTAACATGATGGAATACACTTCCGGTAAGGATCAGGTTTTTGCCGGAAAAAAACACATTTATCCTAACATACATATTAAATGAATCATCAATTGATAAAGCGTTATTTTGGATATAAAAAATTTGGTGTATTTATGAGCAGTAATAATATATTAATAGGATTGTAGGTCACAAAATGATGCGATATTTTTCCGATTTGGGCACTTTATTGACGCAAAATCGTCCGTCGTAGGATAAGGAAGCGAAATGCCAAGGGTCGGAGGCGGACCATTCACTAGCGTAGACGGAATCCTCGTGTTCTTCGTCAAATTTCTTGACAACACAGTCTTGAGTGGTCGGGGGATTACTTATTATTTTTTTTGTTTAGACAAAAGTTAAAGAGTAAATATATCGGAGATGAGAATGGTACAGATGGATGGTGGGGGGGGGGGGAGTAATCTATGAGAGATAGAAAAATTAGAAGCGAATGGCGGGAAAGAATTGGAGTGGTGATTGAGAAAGAATAGACCGAGTTGATATGGGCACGTTGAACGAAGACGCAAGATAAATGGGTTAAGAGACGCACTTCGTAGGAAGTAAAGGAATCAAGGTCTCGAGAATCGAAAACGTGGAAAGCGATAATAGGGACACATGAAAAAATGGGTCTTAAGGATCGCGAAAAGTGGACGAGAATGGATAAACCGCTAATAAACGATAAAAGAAAGAAAAGGAACAATAAATCAGGCCGGTTCACTTATATTCAATGGGATTATTTACTTAAACTCAGGGACCCGTAGGGGAATTTGTGCGCTAATGTTCCCAATCGGGCCAAAAGATTCGTGTTCTGTTCCCATGGTTTCGGAGCGTATTTTTTTTAAAAAAAATTTTTATTTTATTTTGTTTTCTATTACAATATTTAACTCTCTAAACACTAACTTGGTAATATTAAAACTACAGTAATTAAAGAAAAAACGAATGTTAATGAATGAGCCATTACCCTGAATTCGTCTATCCGGGATAGTTCTAGGAACGTTCCCATGATCACAGTTACTGTTCCTTTAGCTTCCCATGATTTTCCCCATGTTCGCGGTTATAATACGATGCCAGAAACTATATACATTTTAAGAAAAAACGGTGACCTAATGGAGGAGACAAGACTCAGAGAGCGAACAAAGACAAGCCGGGTTAAAGTAACGGATGACAAGAAAAAGTAGTTAGATCTGACCAGGGGGCGATGGTCAGGACCGCGTAAAATGGAGAAAGGCGGGTAGAAGGGGAAATGGCCTACCCGGGTAAACCCTGGATAGGTGTCCCTATAGGGCGAAGAACAAAAAAATTAACTAAATAAATAAAATATATATATATCAATCTCAGTTTAGAAAAAAAATAATTCATTGATCTAAGGTGACGACACAGGTATTAATATTGGAACAATTTCTTCCTATTTTTCTTAACGTATTAAATATATAAATGATTAAAAAGAAGTAGCTTCAAGAATTGGCGTCTTTTGGTACTTGAGGTTCACATAAAATATATCATTTTCAAAAAAAAAACACCCTAAAATAGTATATTACGATAATGTAACCAGGACAGCCATCAATCATAATATAATATATATTTAAAAAAAGGATGTAATTGAATTACCCGGATTTATTATCACTGGGAGAAGATTGGTCGTTATTGAGCAATAAGACGGCTTCGGATGATATAGAGGCTACTCGCGTCAACATAACGCGGGCATCGCTCCCACTGCTCAACACTAATTGGTCGTGAAAAGGGTTAAACCTAACGCTCCAGATCCTGATAAATATAACATTGAAATAAAATTAAAATCCAAATGTATAAAAGTTTATTATTTAAAAAAAAATTAAGACATAAAGCCAAAGTTAACAAACTCGTGTAATAATTGACAGGTGTTAAAACGCTCCAAACCCTGTCAAATATGAGTATAAAATAAAATTAAAATCCAAAATGTATAAGAATTTTTTTTAAAAAAAAATTAAGAAGCCAAAGTTAACAAACTCATGCATTGATTGACAGGTGTCAAAAACACTCTTAGAGTATTACTTGGGAACAAATATATAGATTACCTAAAATATGCGTTTTATAAAACACGTTTATCAAATTTAAAATGTGTCGCGTTTATTTAAAACAAAGTTTGAAATGCGATTCCTAATAAAAGCCGCTAGATGGCATCGCTAAAAAAAAATATGTCGCGTTTATTTAAAACAAAGTTTGAAATGCGATACCTAATAAAATCCGCTAGATGGCATCGCTAAAAAAATATAAAAGACTTAACGATCGTCATATTAATTTGATCGCAAATATTATAAATATAATGATTGATGTTAGAGCGTTAATTAATTGCCGTGTTAAAAAATATTCCAATTCGACCTTATTTGATCGGTCAATTGACCGAAACGTATTTGATAGGGAATGTCGGCCTTTTCAGACCCCCCCCCCCGAGTTAGGAAAAAAAAATCGCAAAAATATTTTGACGCTTGCATTTTCAAGAGTCGTGTCATTATGTCGTAACGCGACAATTTAATCGCGATGTTTCGACTTTCTATTATTTTTCTTTTGATAAGAATGAATCCCCTGCTTTTTTTTTCAATAATCTACTTTAGTATTATAGTGTTCTATATTCGTTTAAAGATTTTTCGGTAGTACATAAGAATTGGTTACTCGAAAAAATAGAAGTGAATATGGAACATTATAATACTCATAAATCATCGAACCTGTTTGAAGAACGTTTAAAAGTGGACACGAAACTGAACATGTTATGATCGCAAAGGTGAATATTAATGTCGATTAAAATTTAACCAATGAGTATGATCGCAAAGCGTTAGAAGAGGGTCGGATCCGGGCTTCCTAGCGTCCCAAAAACGGATTTTGGCGTCGTCGCCGCAAGTGGCGAGCACGTGACTTCTATTGGCGTTGAAATCGACGTTCCTGAGCGTGTTGTTGGGACCGGCGTCTAACAGGAACGTTTGCCTTCGTAAAAAAGCACGATAAATCGTAATAATGTGTATAGTCCAGCACACACAAATTTAAGTTTGTTAAGATTTTAAACTCTTATTGATTATATATGCCCCGAGTAAAAATAATTTAAAATGAAACGAAATAGAGCAGTTCAACACCCACAGTTCTGTATTCTAAATCAAAGTATTTTAAGTTTATTAATTGGAAATATAAGATAGATATGCTAAAACGCGATATAAAATTATGCTAAACAATATTCGTACTTCATGGTTCTCAAGTCCCACCCACGCACATAGACGCCATTCACGGTCGCCATTTGATTGTAATCCAGGTTGGAATTCCATCTCCCAGTCTTGATTTCTGGTGGAGATTTGGATTCCACAATAGTGGAAGCTATTAACTTTACACGCATATATTTATTTTTAACAAAATATAAACAACAAAATAATAATTTACAAAACGATGTTTATTTGTTGTTAGATTTAGAGGATTGTTGAATGTTTCCTTTTATTAATTAATCAGCAGCATCGGTGAGTACAAATTCATTCCACATATAAAATATCGATTTAAATCATAAAAATTATTAATTAATGTTAATTTAGGTTAATATAATGCCTGAAAATAAAGTATAATTTAGAAAAATACCCAAATAAACTTTAAAGTAATAAATAGAAATATAACCTTAGGGAAAAATTAACTAGAAAAATAACAAATTCTAAATAAATGTGCTTTAATCATTATGCAGCTTTATCCAAATACTCCCTTTTGCATCTAATTTATGAATTAATTATATTATATACATTTTTAATTTAAATAATATTAGTAAAATTATTCAAATTTTTGTTATAGATGTTATTTTGAAATCATAAACAAATTTTATGAAGCAAATATTAAAATTATATCATAATTTCAAGTAGCATCTATGGAAAAAATTACCTTAGTTGATGAATCACTAACATTTAGATCCCAGAGATATATAGAATCATATGACAATGTTATAACTTGAGAAGTTGAACCAGATGGATGCCATATCATGCTTGTTTTGATTTAAATATAAAAATCTTTTAAACTTAGTATTACCATATTGTTTCAAGATTTTGATTGCTTTCATTAGGATTTCTAATTGATGTAAGGTGTAATAGATTGCTTGATGATTGTTCACTTGAATCTAATTCTTAAATTCATTATAAATCATTCAATATCTTAATTACCTTCATTATATTTAATGTTTTCTTGTAATCTCCAAATACTTGACACATTAAAAGTTATATCATTTTCAACTGATCTATTTGTTTAATTAAGTTAACAAAATAAATGAATACGTATTTGATTGTAACATGTGCCTAATAAATCTTTATCAAAAGGTGATGAAGATATATGCCAGATTTCTCCTACATCGTGATTATAGATAATAGGTGTTATAAGGTTATTTTCCTCATCATAATCAATTTTAAACACCTTATAATTTTGAATATATCAACTATAAATAAAATAAAATAACTTTATTTTTTTGCCTTAAAGATTGTGTTCCAATAAAAAATGTTATATCATCTGATTCAGATGCTAAAGAAGTTAAAGTTCGTGCCTATAAAAAAATATATATATAAATCACTAAAATATTACTGGATACTCAAATCCATAAACACATGAAATTTCGCCATTCATAATGACTCCACTATGGTATAAAATTGCCCACTAACCTACTACCTGTTATAATTCACAAATGTAAAGCAGAAGGGGGTTTTGTACTTAGTTTTTCTGCATGATTATTTTTCTAAATTAATTTTTGGATCCAGTATTTTCTTTTCTTGGCCTGTATATACTTATGTATTTTTGGTGTGGGTTTTAGGATATGGAAAAGTAATTGTTGGCCAGGATTAACAAAAGGCATTTTGGCTTGATTGTTATATGATAGTCTATCATTCACGGAAAGACTCTACCAACAAAACATATTTACAAACCTCGCCACCCCCTGTCGACTGGTTTCTCCATAAATAAAATAACAAGTGAACAAAGACTAAGAAAAAAACGAAAACCTAGCGTAGCTCTGTTGTATCCACAACCAGAGGGCGAAAACGCTTTTATCACGTATCACGTACTACATAAATATTTTGACCAGCGAATGTGTGTGAATAATCTAAGACCAACAAATTATTATTTTAGCTTATTATTTTTATTTAATGAGATCCTGATTTGGTATATAATAATAAAATATCATTCTGATATGGAACAAAATATATATTAATTCTAATTCTAGTTAAGTTAAAAATTAATTTATCATTTTTCATACCTTCCGCGATCAAATGATACGTACTGCTAGTGTTGTTAATTGGTTGGTTGTATAAAACCAGACCCGGGGTTTGGGTCTAAAAAATCGACCAAACCAGCTCTGAGCACAGACCCGGGGTTCAGACCCGGGGTTCAGACCCGGGGTCCAGACCCGGGGTTCAGACCCGGGGTCCAGACCCGGGGTTCAGACCCGGGGTCCAGACCCGGGGTTCAGACCCGGGGTTCCAGACCCGGGGTTCCAGACCCGGGGTTCAGACCGGGGTCAGACCGGGTCCAGACCCGGGGTTCAGACCCGGGGTCCAGACCCGGGGTTCAGACCCGGGGTTCAGACCCGGGGTCCAGACCCGGGGTTCAGACCCGGGGTCCAGACCCGGGGTTCAGACCCGGGGTCGTGTCGTGTAACGATTTAATAAACAAGTTAATAATTAAATATTTTTTATTGCAATAATAATAATGACTGAAAGAGGGCAGGGCGGGTTTACTAGGTCTTGGGGGGTCAGGAATAATTTATCAAAACAAAATATCGATATATGGGTAAAATATAATCTTCTAAACTAAATATCTTTAGATTGAAAGTATTCATTTTTTATCTTGATGGGTATGAATGACTTGGTTTTGGAGGTGGATGTATGGGGGGGGGGGTGAAAGTGGGGGGGGGGGGGTGAAAATTAATATTTTTTATATGGAAATAAAAATATTTTTTTGTAATGATAATAATAATGATAATGATCACTCATACAGGGCGGGTATAGGTCCTGGGGGGTGGGGGGTCAGGTATATTTTTATTAACACAAAATATCGATATGGGTGTTGTTTAATTGGTTGGTCTTGGTTGTGTAAATCCCAAATCCGAGGTGGGTCTAATAAAATTACTGCGATCTAAATTAGCAATATTTATATAAGAAATAAGCCAGCATTAACTCGAGTCGAACCCCATAAATAATGTTGTTTCAAATATTTTAATTAAAATTATTTATCAATAATATCGAACTTAAATAGGAAAATCCTGCAAGCAACTCAGCTTATGACTAAAAAATTTTTAATCGGGGACTCTTAGGGCTTGGAAATAATAAAAATGAATTATTATGTAGGTTTGCTTATAGATTATTTCTATACCATCCTGATCTTAGTTCAGAATTAGATACGAACTTTCTGACCGGATTTATTTAATTTCATCAACTAGATAATAAAATTAAGTATCTGTAGCTAATTTTTTTAATAAAATCCCCTATTTTCTTATGTGATAAAAAAAGTAAATTATATATTTCTATATGATTTTAAAATCTAAAATAAAGATGTGATTGATATTAACGAGTGGCTGCGTCTCTTCTATAAATATAATAAAAAATTTTATTTTACATAAAAAATTCAACATAAATATGATTAATTTAGATCTTATTAAAAATATTTCCGTCAACATTCTCGATGGAAACAGTTATAATTATAAATTTAATGAAAATTAATTTCCATTTTTTTAGATTTCGGAAGAAAAGGAAGTTTTTCAAAAAAATTTCTAAAACACATTTGTTTTCAATTATAATTTTATTCGTATTCGTAAATATCATCATCATCGTCTATAATTATAATAAGTATATTAAAACTGAAACAGAAAATAAAATATAAAAATAAAATCACATAATTAGTAATCACTATTTTCAAACTTCAAAGATATGTATTATATATAGATCGAATTTCCTTTTCGATATATCATATCGTATCCGTATGTGAGTTAAAGAGGCTGTGAAATATATTAAATCAAAAAAGTAGTAATTAATTACCTCAATTATATGGATCTAGTTTTGTTATTTGGTTTGAAGAACCATTTGAAAAATAAATATTTAAGTTAAATTACAGGAAGTTTTTAAAAAATAACAAAAATTTTCTCAACAATTTCTTTCAAGTTTTTAATAGTAAATTTTATTTTATTTTTGCAATAAAAATTTTTATATAAGGGGTTTTATTTTTGATAAAATCGTCAACATATTTCATTAAACATCATATTCATAACTTAATAACCCCCACTTCAAAAATATTAAAAAAATTTGAAATTGAATAATAAAATTATTTTTCTATTTAAATAATTAATTTTAACTTCAAAAAAACAAACGGAAGTTTTATTTTTAAAAACTATATATAGAAGAATAAAAATAGTAGAATTAAAAAAATAATTTATTTTAAATATTAAAGTTTTCTTCTAAAATTTTTCAAGCTTTAATCGTTTTTTACAAAACTAAATATTTTATAATAAAGTAATGTGTAACATTTTAGAAGATGAGTATTGGTCTGATTCTGATTATTTTAATGGTGGACAATCAACCTCAACACCGATTTCACCTGTAAACATTCCAAGCGAGGATTTTTCATTATCTCAGTCTATTGGACAAGAATTAGTTGTTTCATTTTCTGGGGATTCTACATCATCCAATTCTGTAGATATAAAAAATTCTTTCGCGCTGACTCCCAAGAAGTCGAGGAAGAGGTGCCTCTATTGCACTGCAATATACAGCCATACTACTTCACAAAGTATATTACTTTTTATTAATTTTTGGATTACCTTTATTTTCTCAAAAAACATTTTGTTACATTTTCTTATCAAAAAATATTTTGCATATCATATTTGTAGTATTTTTGACATATATTTTAATCACATCTTTTTAATTCAAAATTTTAAAAATATTAATAATTTTAATAAAAGAATTTATTTTATATTTTAATAATCTCTTATTATTAAATGTATAATTTAATTGTTGTTAAGAAAAATAATGTAATTGTTTAAATAAAATAAAAATTCACTATTTGTATTTCTTAATCTCTAAACATGTTGAATGGGAATTTTTTTTTTTAAATAAAAAGCATTTTGTCAAGTTAATTATTTAAGCTCGTATTTTTAAAAAAAATAAGTGAAATATTTTTTTTATATATATACTTCAATTACTTTTTCGTTACTTTTTTAAGTTTAAGTCCATCTCTAGAGTATCTAACTAGTGTTGTTAATTGGTTGGTTGTGTAGTGCTCAGACCCGGGGTTTGGGTCTAAAATATCGACTAAACCAGCTCTGAGCACGAACCCCGAGCACAGACGCGGGGTTTGTGCTCGGGGTTCAGACCCGAGGATTTTTTAATTATTATATAGTCCTGCTCCTGCAAAAGCTAGTTAGCTTCGGTTCTCAGCAGGGCAGAGAAAATTATAATAAATGTATAGAAAGAGAATATATAATTCGGTCATTTGATAATATAGAGAGATTAGAAAAAATACAAATCATTGGGAAAATGTAAAGAATAGTATGCCAGAACTGTTAGCTATAACTGTGCTAACAGTTCCAGCTACCCAGGTATCCGTAGAAAGAGCATTTTCTAGCCTTAAGTTTATACTCTCTGCCCAGAGAACTAAATTAAATCCTGAAATATTAGAAAATATTTTAGTTATCCGTTCTAATTCTCATTTTAAAAATAAATAATATAAATTTCATTATATTTATGTGTTATTTTATTCCTCATTGTATTTGCGCATGTTTGTGTCATTGGTTTGTGTTTATCTTATTTATATATAAAATAAAATAAATTGAGTTGTCTATTTATATTTACTAAGTTTAATAAAAATATCTATTAGATTATCATGGTTAAATTAAATAAGAAATTATAAAAAGATTTTTCTCTAATATTAATATATATGGTTTATTATTAAATTTTTTTTAAATCAAATTTATAAGAACCGGAACAAACCGAAAAGAACCGTTATAAATTATAAACCGAACCGATTAAAATTTTTTTTAAAAAAACCGAAATGGAACAAAACCTTTATAAAATTTTAAACTAAAAACCTTAACGAACCGAACCTCTATACTTAATGGTTCGAGACGGTTTTAAAATATACGGTCCGCGTCGGATTATTTTTAAAATAAATTTTCAGGCCCTGGGTTAATTTAAAAAAATTAAAATAGGGGCCAGTGTACTCAGGTCGGGCTGAGCCGGACCAGCAGGTCTCTGACTAATTTATTAAGACCAATAATGGGGAATTATAAAATATATGGAATTATAATTAAACGACCCGAGATAAATTTTTTTATCCCGAAGCTAACTAGCTTTTGCAGGAGCAGGACTATATAATAATTATAAAATCCTCGGGTCTGAACCCCGAGCACAAACCCCGGGTCTGTGCTCGGGGTTCGTGCTCATAGCAAGTATTAGCACAAATTTGGGTCGTATATTTTACGAACAAACAAATTTGGTATTATCGTTAACATTTATTAGAAATAATTTAGCCAGAAATTAAATTTTATTGTATTTATCATAAAAATCTTATTTTTGTGTATGAAATTGCACAGAATAATAAAAGAAACATTCTACATAAATTCAAAAATATTAAATAAAATATTTACATAATAATATTTTTATTTTTTGTCAAGCTAATCTTAAGAAACATCTAAAGTCCGCGCACTCAACTATATTCACTGAGTTATCACAAATAACAACAAAAGATACGATGCCCGGGATTAGAAAGCCTCTAATACATGAGAATTTAAATATGAATAAACTTATATTAAACTTTTTGATAAAAACAAATAGTCCACTAAGTTTAGTGGATAATGAATCTTTTAAAAAGATGATCTATTATGCAAATAGTAATCTGAAAGTTTGGTGTAGGCAGACCGTATCCAAAAATTTAGACAAAATTTATAATATTGCCAAAATTCAATTAATAAAAAAATTTAATAATGTTAAAAATAAATTTGCCTTAACTAGTGATATATGGACTTCCCATAATGGTTCAGCTTACTGTTCATTAACACTTCACTACATCAACGATGACTGGAATATTATAAACATTGCCCTAGATTTATTATCGTTCCCCCACCCACACACGGGGGATGATATATCATCGCTTTTGATAACCTCCATGAATGATTTCGAATTTAAAAATAATATAATATCTATAACGCATGATAATGGCGCTAACGTGGTAAAAGCCGTAGAAATAATTAAAAAGTATTATCATTTAAATTATGAGACTGTTTTATATAGTCATCGTTGTATGGCACATATCCTTAACCTAATCGTTAATGAGGGCTTCATATTTTTGGACGATAAATTGGAAAATATAATGGCTATCGTTTCCAGGTTACATGTGTCGCCTAAGTTATTGCAAACATATCAATCCTTTAATGGGGCTACAAAAATACCTCTTCCAGTGAAAACAAGATGGAATAGCGTATATCTTATGATAGCAGCCATTAATAAAGTATAAAATAAAAATATTTTTGTATATTTATAATATTATTTCTTTTTATATCTATTTATAGAATATCAAGGCAATACAACATCTCAGTGAGCTTGGATTAATTGAAACCGATTTGGCTCCTGAGAATATAGAATTCTTCTCAAATTTAGAAGAATTTCTAAAGCCTTTTTATCAAATAACGGTTGAAATAAGCTCGCAGCTTCCAACAATAGGGATGGCGATATTGTTTTTCAACGATATTCTGGAGAATTTAAAAAATCAAGAAATAGGTAATTCTGATGCTTCAATACGAGAAGCAGCAACATCTATGATAAAAAAATACGACGAATATAGCCAGCATATATTAACACCAAACAACTATGCTGCATCAATACTGGACCCTAGGATTAAAAATACATTAATCACTAATTTAAAGGAAGATGCAGCAATTACAAATATGGCTATATTCAAAGGTATTTATTCAAAATATACGACGGAGCCATTTGATGAGTACTCATTCAATAATAATAACAATCCTTCCAACCTTAAAACTATTTCATTATTGCAGGGATTGAAAAGAAGGTATATTTGTAATATAATACATTTTGATAGAATTAATTTAAGTGATATATTTTATGATTTTTATTTATTTTAAATTTATCTCTTTAGAAAAGTATCATCAAATGGCGATAGTGACAATCAAATAAACACCTATCTTCTTGAGCCGGTAGCGCCCGAGACAACTAACGTGCTAGATTGGTGGAGAGGAAATGAAAATCGATTTCCTCATTTAGCTAAGATGGCGCGAGACTTTCTATGCCAACAAACAACTTCCGTGGCATCGGAAAGAACTTTTTCTCTTGCTGGAAATACTATTACTAAATTGAGGAACAGGATGGCTCCCTCCACCCTAAAACAATGCATATCGCTATCATCTTGGGATATAAATATAATGGGCCTTCATGACGATATATGGCAATAATCTGTTAGGCATAGTAATAATTTATTTTTTAATAAATAATTATATTTTTCTAAATATATTTAATAATAATTTTATATTTTAAATATTTTTTAGGCTGGAGTCTATATCCACGAGCAAGATGAGATGCATTCGATTCGTGTTTATGAAAAAATTATATAAATATAATTAATATTGTATTTTATATTCTATTGTATATATTTTTATTTAAATCAAATTTTAAAAATAAATTTATTTCTACTAGCACTTCACCCCCATTTAGTATATATATATATATAAATATATGCATGTTTCTTTCACGTGGACAAAGCCGCGAAATCAAAATAAAATATTTTTTTAAAACCAAGCTTAATAAGCTGACATTAAAATTAATAAAAAAGAAAAACTATTGACGATAGTATATTTATAACTAAGAAATGAAAAATAAATAAAATAAAACATTTGCAATTTATAAAAAAAATTAAATCAATTTATATAGTTTATTTTATTTAATTAAAGTTAAATAACTTTTTAAATAAATGTGTTATTTATTATAATTAATTTTACAAACAAAAAAGAAAAAAGAGAATAAAATAAAGCTTTGAATTATTAATTTAGAAGGTATAATAATATTAATTTAATTTAAGATTAGATATGAGATTTATTTTATCTTACTTTACATATATCTGTTCTGAACCCCGTGTCTAGATTCCGGAATAAAAAATTTAATATATAAAAATAATATGAACCTCGGGTCTGAACCCCGGGTCGGCCTGAGCACAAAATTTGGTCGTAAATTTTACGACCAAGCAAATTAACAACACTATGATATAGATCGAATTTCCTTTTTGATATATCATATCGTATGTGAGTTAAAGAGGCTGTGTGTGAAATATATTAAATAAAAAACTAGTAATTACCTCAATTATATGGATCTTGTTTTGTTATTTGGTTTGAAGAACCATTTAAAAAATAATTATTTAAGTTAAATTACAGGAAGTTTTTAAAAAATAACAAAAATTTTCTCAACAATTTCTTAAGTTTTTAATAGTCATTTATTTTAATAAATAAAATCGAAATCCATATTTTTTTAATAATAATAATTAATTAATCATTCTGCATATTGTTATTTTTATGCACCATTCTGTTTATAAAAGTTTGCGATAATCTCTTCAGAATCTTTTTTTAGTGAATTTGGTGATATTAATTAACTTGACAGTTAACATAGCCGTAAACGTAAATTGATTTCTGATAAATAAGTAAATTTTGGTATTTCCAATAATAAATCTTCGATTTATTAATGTTAAATATTGTTTAAAATTTTATTCAAATTTCATATTATATATGTTTATTATTTATTATATATAGATTAATGTTACTTATTTATATAAAAGTTATTTAACAATAAAAATATTTTATATACTTTTAGAATTGCAATAGAATTGAATAAAAACTATAACTGATCATTATAATATATTTAAATAAATGACATAAAAATTAGATATGATATCGGATCGGTAATCGGTCGATATCAATTTAATATCGGATCGGATAGGCCTCCAAAAAGTGATATCGGTATACACCTACTTAAAACCCAAATTTATTAGTTATACCTTTAAAACCCGTGGTGATCCTGGATAGTTGACATCCCTTTAAAAATTATGACATATATATTATTGGGAATATAAACTTTAATATAATAAAGAAAAACTTTTTATTGGCCATTATTTTATCACAAATTATAAATTTACATTTCTTTTTATTATTTATACATGCATGAATGACGTTGAATTTTTATATTGGTCCTCCTCTCCACATTAAATTACAATATCAATATGTGTTAAAATAAAATTTTACTTTTTTATTTTTATTCCGTCATGCATGGGCTACTCTTTTTGAATATTTATTACATATATTTTTATTTTACCATATAAATTTTTTATCAAAAGAAAAAAAATGGTAAGAAAATAATAATAAAAAAAGCTTTATTTATTAATTTAGAATGAATAAGATAAGAAGAATAAGATTTAATTTAAGATTAGAAAATGAAATATTTTTTTTTTACTTTTCATTTATCCGAGCCCAACCCCAAGGTGTAAGTCTGGACCCCTGGTCTGAACCCCTGGTCTTAACCCCGGGTCTGAACCCCGGGTCTGGACCCCGGGTCTGAACCCCGGGTCTGGACCCCGGGTCTGAACCCCGGGTCTGGACCCCGGGTCTGAACCCCGGGTCTGAACCCCGGGTCTGGACCCCGGGTCTGAACCCCGGGTCTGAACCCCGGGTCTGAACCCCGGGTCTGGACCCCGGGTCTGAACCCCGGGTCTGGACCCGGGTCTGAACCCCGGGTCTGAACCCCGGGTCTGAACCCCGGGTCTGAACCCCGGGTCTGGACCCCGGGTCTGAACCCCGGGTCTGAACCCCGGGTCTGAACCCCGGGTCTGGACCCCGGGTCTGAACCCCGGGTCTGAACCCCGGGTCTGGACCCCGGGTCTGAACCCCGGGTCTGAACCCCGGGTCTGAACCCCGGGTCTGGACCCCGGGTCTGAACCCCGGGTCTGAACCCCGGGTCTGGACCCCGGGTCTGAACCCCGGGTCTGAACCCCGGTCTGGACCCGGGTCTGAACCCCGGGTCTGAACCCCGGGTCTGAACCCCGGTCTGGACCCCGGGTCTGAACCCCGGGTCTGAACCCCGGGTCTGGACCCCGGGTCTGAACCCCGGGTCGGCCTGAGCACGAAATTTGGTCGTAAATTTTACGACCAAGCAAATTAACAACACTACGTACTGCTTAAAGGTAGTTAAATTTTTTAAGTAGCGATCGGTAACGACGCTAATTTTATAAAAATCAATGATATTATCATTGATAATAATAACTAATTCAAGTAGAATTTTAAAAAGGTATGATTAATTTGTTATGTTCTAAAATTTTTTATTTTTTATTTTAATTTAACCTTTATATCATAATATATACAATGATCGAAATAATGGTACTTGCCTGACATTTTAAAAGATAAATTAACTTCGTTGAAAGTGAGGGATAAAAAATATAAACACACCTTAAATTAGCTCAGCAGCAATATAATTTATCATATCCAAATTCAAATTTTTAAATGGAATTTACCAAACAAAAATGATTATTTATTAATTAATATTGATTATATAACAAATTTTTCATCCATATCAGTTCTCACAATTTAAAGTGTACCCTTTTCTAAAACAACTCTGCATAAAACAATAGCACTATCCCATCCAGTTCTCTATTTTAGAGAGTATTTATTCTAGTAAGGATGTTTTTGGCAAAAAAAAATATTCTTTGTTAAATTAAAACTTTGAGAGATATCTAAAAATACTAATATAAAATATATTAATAAATTTAAAATTATATAATTAATATTTTATTATAAAAATCTTTACTAATATGAATTATTATATAATTAATATTTTATTATAAAAATCTTAAATAATATGAATTTTTATATTTGAAATTTTAATAAAGATTTCATTGGCGAATATAAAAAAAAAATATATAATTGAGTCTGCAATATTTTAATTCTTATCTCTTATTTAAGGGAAAAAATTATATATAAGTTATAAAGTAACTACTAATAGATACTCTACATTTTAAAGGTAGCTATTCTTTCTTTCTTTCTTTCTTTCCTGATTGAGAAATACTTCACACTTAGCAAATCCAGCTATAGCGGGATAAATTATTTTGAGAATAATTAGTGGCGAAACTAATTTTTTAACAAATGTATTTGTATCTATAGTGTTATACTTTAAAGTGGTTAATAGCATTAAATTTGTTGTAGTTGATGTGAAGATTATCTGTAATTCAATCAAAAAAAGATATTATTATTATTATTTATTATATCGATCGCGTATTGTCGGTATTGTACATTTATATATGACATATTACGCCCTATGGGGTGGTGGAGTGCCTACTTAATTGTGGGATGTCTTTCCAGTGTATAATAGGAATGGATAGGATAAGAAATATGACATATTATTTTTACAATAAAGTTACTAAATAGTTGTATCAAGTGTAATAAACCATTAGTGAATACAGGCGTGTACGCAGGAATTTGGTCTGGGGGGGGGGGATAATAAATTATTTTAAGAAATATTATTGCTTTTTAAAAATATCAAGCATAAATTTATTAGGACTAATAACAATTTCTAATGCACAATTTTAAATTAATGTGAATTATAAAAAAATTATATGTAAAGAATCACTTAAATGACCAAAAATAGAAATTTGAATTTTTTGAGCTTTAAAATTTATATATAAAGTATAAAAAATTTAAATGTTAGAAAATATAAAATAATTCACAAAAAGCTTAGGGAATAATTGTATTTTGTATGTTATATATTTACAATGTAAAATCCAATCTTCGTTGGGATTGAGTTAATTTTTCAATTATCTCATCCTTGCTTGTTGTCAAATGCCTATGAATATTCAAAAAATCCAAACCTTTCAATCTACTTTCAAAATTTGTACCACTTGGTATGTTTTTCAGAGACCCGCAGGCCCGGCCCCCGGGCCGGACCAGTGGCCGGGCCCAAAATTTTTTAAAAAACACCTGGGCTGAGCCTGAATTTTTTAAAAAAAAATCTAGGCCGGGCCTGAAAATATTTTTGAAAAAATATCCGGGCCGGACTGTATATTTTAAAACAGCCTATATTTGAAATCGTTGTTATTAGCTATAAAAATCAAAAATAAATATAATTTATTTTTAAAAAATCCGGGTCGGGCTTGAAAATTTTATTTTAAATAAGGCCGGGCCGGGCCTGAAAATTGAGCTTAGCCGTAAAAATCTTTAAAAAAAATCCTGGTCGTGCCCTGCAAATGGTACCTCTGCAGGGCTCTGTTATTCTTCTTAAAAAAGAGAATATTCTCTCATCAGTTTACTATTGGGAAGAGTTGCTAATATATATAAACCCTTTTAATACATTGGGAATATAATCTAAAATGTGTTTGAAATAATGCAGAGCATCCATAGCATTTTTTGGGACTGTATCAACCATAGTTAATCTTATAAACATAGTTATTCAGCTAATAAGGCATCATAAGATACTTTAACATCTTCATGATAAAAAATCCAACAAATATTTTTTTTTCTATCACCATCCGAAAAAGGTTGGGAAGGCTTTTATGGAAATAATATTTTCAGATTGGTAAGTGCTGCATAATGAATTAAATACTATTTAATTATTTGGTTTATAAATGTATTTGTATCTAAGATATACTTTTCTACTCAT